CTGTAATCCCAGCTACTCCAGAGGCTGAGGCAGGAAACGCTCTTGAATCCAGGAGGCGGAGGTTCCAGTGAACCACGGTTGTACCACTGCACTCCAGCCTGGGTGGCAAGAGTGAAACTTCTTTTCAAAAAACAAACAAACAAACAAATAAACCTAAAGAACAAAAGCTTCCATCCACCAGGTTTAGGAGGAGAGATTAGACACACAGACCTATGAAGGGAGCAGTAATCACCTCTTCCTCTTCAAGAGTTGCTTCAGCGTTTAAAAAGTCCTTTGGCATTTGTTTGTTAAACATCTGACCCTCACATCAAGCCAGAGAGGTAGGGGAGGTAAGTGTTACCAGCCCCACACCCTTTTTTTTTTGAGACGGAGTTTTGCTCTTGTCGCCCAGGCTGGAGTGCAGTGGCGCAATCTTGGCTCACTGCAACCTCTGCTTGCCGGGTTCAAGAGATTCTCCTACCTCAGCCTCCCCAGTAGCTGGGACTACAGGCACGCGCCACCACCACCCAGCTAATTTTTATATTTTTAGTAGAGACGGGGTTTTGCTATGTTGGCCAGGCTGGTCTAGAACTCCTGATCTCAAGTGATCCATTCACCTGGCCTCCCAAAGTGCTGGGATTACAGGCATAAGTCACCACATCCAGTCTTCTTTTCTTTTCTTTTCTTTTTTTTTTTTTGAGATGGAGTCTTGGTCTGTTGCTCAGGCTGGAGTGCAATGGCAGGATCTCGGCTCACTGCAACCCTTGCCTCCTGGATTCAAGCGATTCTCCTGCCTCAGCCTCCCAAGTAGCTGAGATTACAGGTGCCCGCCACCAAGCCTGGCTAATTTTTGTATTTTTAGTAGAGACAGGGTTTCACCATGTTGGCCAGGCTGGTCTTGAACTTCTGACCTTGTGATCCGTCCACCTCAGCCTCCTAAAGTGCTGGGATTACAGGTGAGAGCTGCTGTGCCTGGCCTTCCTTTCTTCCTTCCTTCTTTCCTTCCTTCCTTCCTTCCTTCCTTTCTTTTTTAACAAGGAATTTGTTATAGTTTTATTTTCCTCTGCATTTGCAAAATACTTAGACCAACATGAGAAAGAAATACCTTCTGTGGGGACAAAATGACATTAAAAAGAAAGATGGGAAGGCTGAAAAGGGTTAGTGCCTTAGTTGCAAGGAGCTGCAGCATCTCTGGTCCAAGGAATCAAAAAGATATTGGGAAGATATAACAGGAAGAAGAAGAATGTGAATTTACTGAGGGAGAGGGCCCCGAAGTGGGCGTTGAGGGGGAACTGGAGGCCAGGGAGTGGGCCTGGGTGGAGGGGAGAGGCCTCTGCTGGAGGCCATAGGGTGGGGGTTGGGGAGGGCCAGTGTATCTATGAGGCGGCATCAGTGGAGGAGGTCCACGCATACCATGGAGGCATAGTACCTGGGTGACCCATGGGAGATCCAGACTGAGGCCCCCTGGGGCACATGCTCATTGGAAGAAGTCCAGGATGAGGCATTCCAGGTGGTGATCAGGGTGGTGGCTGCCCCCCAGATCCTGGGGGCCCATCACGGGGGTGTCCTCAGCCATGAGGGCCATGGTGTGCCAGCCCCATCTGAGACATCCCTGGACGGGACATCGCACCTATTGGGAATGGGTGAGGATGTGAGTGTCCATGACCCGGATGTCCTGCCTCTGGGGTTCCTGCCAATGGGAGCCGGGGGCATGTCCTGCAGCCGGGGGCATGTCCTGCATTGGGCATGTCCAAGTAGGGCATGGCTAGGGGTATCCCAGGTGTGGGGTGGAGGCTCCAGGAGGCAGCTCTAGGTGTGGGAAGGAGCCAGGAGGAGGCACGCCTGGTGGAGGAAGCCCAGACCCCAATGATGCTGCCACAGGATTCGGGGCAGAGGATGGATGAAGTTCCCAGGGACCTGATAAGAGAAAGTCGCTCATCTTGCACGTGCAAAAGTTGCCCTGGGACCACGTTACTTGCCTGCGGAGGACCCAGCAAAACCTGTGCCTGACGTCGGTGGCCACGCCCAAGGCTCAGGGCTGGGCGGGGCCAAGCGCGGGGCAGCACGCTCTGCTCTCCCGCCCACGACCTGCGGGGGTCGTTAG